CCAGGGCATTGCCCTGGCACAGGGGCAGGGAAAATGTATTGGTTGTGTGCAGCAGAGCAATGAGAAACCCAGTGGCCCAGGCAGCTGCTGCCATGTGGGCACAAGCTCTGCTGCCCAGGAGGGTCCCGTAGTGCAGGGGTTTGCAGATGGCAACGTAGCGGTCGTAGCACATGATGGTGAGGAGGGAAAACGCTGCTCTAAGAAAGATTATGTAGACAAAAACCTGTGCAGCACATCCTGTGATGCAGGTGATGGTTCTGGTGTCTGTCCCAGTTAGAACAGCTGGGACCGATTCATCACGGGATGGGTGTAGCCCAAAGCTGTGTATTCTATAGCCTTCCATGGCATTTCCCAGAAACTGTTATCAGTAGAGGCCTGCGAAATAGGAAGATGTTCCTGTCCTCATACCCTTTTATGGAATTCCCCGCTCTGAGGGAAGGACTGAGCATTCCTGCCTGAACTGGAGAATATATAAACTTGGAGTTTCAGAACCTTTTCACCACTCGTTGGATCCAGAGGAGGACTGCAGGCCACCGCTCTCAGCCAGACTGCAGACCACCACTCTCGACTGGACTGCAACCACCACTTTTCAACCAGACTGCAGCCACCACTCTTGACCAGACTGCAACTGCACTCTCACCAACAGGTTTTTCCCTCTTCTTTTACTTTGGACTCAGGGGGGCCCAAAGAACACCACTCTGTTCATGCCCCAGGGTGCTGGGTTATATATTTGGGTTTTGTGGGTTAAAACCAATTCTTTGTCTGTATAATTGTCCTTATTGTGTCATTTTATTAAAATGTTATTCTGACTTATAATCTCTCTTTTGAGCTGAGTTCATTTCCCCTGCTGGTTCACCTTTAAACCAGCACAACAGAGCAGCAAAAGGGAACTCCACTGCTGAGAGGGTTGGTTTGGGCTGAATCTTGGTGTTTTGGAGGCTTCTATGGAGCACAAGATTCCTGGTGACTTCTAGAGATGGAGTTGGGCAGGAGGGACCACCAACCCAATGCACCCACACCTTGTTTTTCCTCCTAAACCAGGAAAAATTCATCCCTTTGGGAAGTCTGTCTCTAAACTCTATGGCATGAGCCTGTAAGTCTGATAAATATGTATTAGTTTGAGTTACTCTGAGCAGAAGGGAATGAGTTTACATAGAATAATTCCTTCCCAAACCTTGGCTGAATGGAGGAGGAGGCTGCGAGGAAGAGGAAGATGCCCCGGGACCCCCAGGCAGGTGAGGAGGAAGTCAGTGCCCCTTTGCCCCTGTCTTGTCCTGTATCTCCCAGCTGAGCATGGCCCCGGCTGCAGGACAACCCCGCTGCCGCCGCCGTCCTGCCGGGGCCGGAGTTGGGGGGATGTCCTTGGCCTTCCCTGTGGGCCGGAGGCAAATCCCCTCCCTGTCCTTCCTTCCTGCCCCAGGCCCCGAGCTGAGGACGGAGAGCACGGAGGACAAATCCCCCCGGCAGAGCCTGGTGGGAGAGGCCGTTTTGAAGGGCTCCACGGTGCAGGAAGGCAGCGGGGAGGGAAAGAGCCAGAGATCCCCCAGGAGGAGGGTCTCCAAAGCCAGCCCAGGGTGCTCTGAGGAGGAAAGAGCCACTCTGTGCCGGGAAGGCGACGAGAGCTTGAGCCAGAGCTGCGACCAGGAGGTCCATGAGCAGCCTCCCACTAGGAAAAAGCCCTTCAAGTGCTTGGAATGTGGGAAGAGCTTCATCAAGAGCTTTGCCCTCCTCACCCACCAGCACATCCACAGGGGAGAACGGCCCCACACGTGTGGGGAATGTGGGAAGAGCTTCCACCAGAGCTCCCACCTCCTCACCCACCAGATCATCCACACCCGAGAACGGCCCTACAAGTGCTTGGAATGTGGGAAGAGGTTTCAGAGCAGTGGGAATCTCCTCCTGCATGAGCGGACTCACACAGATGAGAGACCCTTCCTCTGCACCCACTGTGGGAAGAGCTTCAACCGCAACTCCCTCCTCGTCACCCAACGGCGCATCCACAGCGGGGAGAGGCCCTACAAGTGTGGGGAGTGTGGGAAGAGCTTCAGCCAGAGCTCTCACCTGATCTGCCACCAGAAGATCCACACCAGGGAACGGCCCTACAAGTGTTCTGAGTGTGGGAAGAGCTTTCAAACCAGCTCAGATCTCCTCAAGCATCAGTGGACACACACAGGGGAGAGGCCCTTCCACTGCAGCGACTGCGGGAAGAGCTTCATCCAGAACTCCAACCTCGTCACCCAGCGGGGGAGAGGCCCTACGAGTGTGAGGAGTGTGGGAAGAGCTTCATCCAGAGCTCTGCCTTGACCTCACACCAAAGGACCCACCAGTAAGGGAAGCCCTAAAGGTGCCTTGACTGTGGGAAGAGCTTTGTCTGCTGCTCCAACTCCATCACCCATTGGAGCATCCACGTTGGGAAGACACCTGGCTAGTGGTCTCCACATCCTCCTTGTTCCCCACAGGCACCCGCGTGAACACAGGGGGAGAAACATCCAGGGGGTCACAAACTGACCTTGGAAATTCATTGG